GGCTCAGTGTCAATGTTGAACCCTGCTTGGGATAGTGGGTCAGTGATAATGTTGAACACTGCTTGGGATAGTGAATCAGTGATAATGTTGAACCCTGCTTGGGATAGTGAGTCAGTGATAATGTTGAACCTTGCTTGGGATTGTGGGTCAGTGTCAATGTTGAACCCTGCTTGGGATAGTGAATCAGTGATAATGTTGAACCCTGCTTGGGATAGTGGGTCAGTGTCAATATTGAACCCTGATTGGGATAGTGGGTCAGTGTCAATATTGAACCCTGCTTGGGATAGTGGATCAGTGTCAATGTTGAACCCTTCTTGGGATAAAGGATCAGTGACAATATTGAACCCTGCTTGGGATAGTGGGTCAGTGTCAACGTTGAACCCTGATTGGGATAGTGGGTCAGTGTCAATGTTGAACCCTGCTTGGGATAGTGGGTCAGTGATAATGTTGAACACTGCTTGGGATAGTGAATCAGTGTAATGTTGAACCCTGCTTGGGATAGTGATCAGTGATAATGTTGAACCCTGCTTGGGATGTGGGTCAGTGTCAATTGAACCCTTTGGGATAGTGGGTCAGTGAAGTTGAACCCTGCTTGGGATAGTGGTCAGTGTCAATATTGAACCCTGCTTGGGATAGTGAATCAGTGATAATGTTGAACCCTGCTTGGGATAGTGAATCAGTGATAATGTTGAACCCTGCTTGGGATAGTGGTCAGTGATAATGTTGAACCCTGCTTGGGATAGTGATCAGTGATAATGTTGAACCCTGCTTGGGATAGTGAATCAGTGATAATGTTGAACCCTGCTTGGGATAGTGGGTCAGTGATAATGTTGAACCCTTCTTGGGATAGTGGGTCAGTGATAATGTTGAACCCTTCTTGAGATAGTGGGTCAGTGATAATGTTGAACCTTGCTTGGGATAGTGGGTCAGTGTCAATATTGAACCCTGATTGGGATAGTGAGTCAGTAATAATGTTGAACCCTGCTTGGGATAGTGAGTCAGTGATAATGTTGAACCCTGATTGGGATAGTGGAGTCAGTGATAATGTTGAACCCTGATTGGAATAGTGAGTCAGTAATAATGTTGTACCCTGATTGGGATAGTGAGTCAGTAATAATGTTGAACCCTGCTTGGGATAGTGAGTCAGTAATAATGTTGAACCC